ACAGATACCGCAACACCCACCCCAGACCATTTTATACTCCACCTGGGTTGTTGGAGTTGTGTGGGCAGGAGAAAAACACTTCTCTTTTGGTTCATAATATACACAGTTTACTATTTGTTGTATTTGAAATCAACCAGTACTCCTGTAAATTTTAAAATGCATAACTTAAGTGTTTTACGCATCCCTTCCTCTTCTTTCAACACTTACAGTATGTCAGACCAATTTGGATTTCCAACTTTTTGGCCCATTAGCATCACCGATGAGTCCTAGAAAGACGAAACAGCTGTATGTTGCAGGTTATTTCTTACTGTATCTATATAACTGCATTTTGAAGATGAAATCACCTGGGAGTGTGTTACGCCCTTTTTTTCTTTCGAACAATAATACAAAGCATTCATACCATGTATCAATAACAATTTTACCCGATATGTTTGTGTTTGATATATTTGATTAGGATTATGACCTTATGGCGTCATTGATATTTTTTTTATCCATTGTCGTAGACAACACTATCAAATGCCCTGTTTATACGTGTTCTGTTCAAGTATGTGTAAATACTTCTTTGCGTATCTGCACCAAGTCAACAATGCACACATGCACAGGTCAACAAACTGTTTATAAATCGGGTGTGTTTGGTCGGTTAGAATCTCATTTGAAACACATTTTATTTCATCTTGTAGTTAATGATATCACGTGTATGAAATGAACGCCTCTTATCCAGTTGTCCGTTTTCAAACAATACAGATTTATAGGAGGTGCTATTAAACACATTTCTGTCGGACTAAATTAAGGTTCCCCATTGAAGTCAGCTTATACAACACGGCAAGGAAGGTGCCCGTCGTCCTTTAATCAGTCGCTCTGTCAAGCCTTATACTCAAGAATTGTTGAAGTGAATTTGACTGAGTAGTTGTTTCTCTATTTCCGGATTTAAGTACGGTAGTTAGATAAACAGACGCAGACAGATGTTATTAAAGACAGTTTAAAGAAGAAAATAGGTTGTTATGTACGTGATCTCACATGCATTTCTGTGTTTCTGGTTTTCTGAGTTAAAAGATGATAACACAACTAGTCAAATAAAGCTACTACATACTATTTATTTAAGATGCTTTAAATACTTTTATCTTTTAACGAAAACATATTTTGCAGTTGCATTGATTAATGAATACTGAGCTGAAGATGACAGCCCAGTTAGTAACAAACAACCATATGATAATTATGACATTTAATAACTAATACTTTTGCAGTTACCATAATGAAAATTATAAAAACAATAATTTGAAGAAACCTACTGGCATGATGGTTAATATTTTAATGTTATATGTATAGTTATTGCTACTATATAATAATTACAAGTATTATTAGTAAACTATATTAATTCATTTCATTTTTTTAAGGATTTATAGAGCATATCTGCCTTGTACATGTATCTTGATGAAGTGCACATTTTTTTGACATCCCTTAACTTCATCCGTTATATTCGGGGAAACAAATATCATTAATTGCACCTGTTGTTATTTCCCATCGGTACTACCAGGGAGACTATAAGTTTGTACGATTCCAGTTAGTCCGTCAGTCAGTCAATCGGTGCATCAGTTTGTCCAGGACGTATCTCATAACCTCTTTCACCTATAATACCCAAATTTCAGACAAAGGGTAGTCTGATATACAAATATGCGTGATTCTTAACTATCATCTTACGTCATGTCAGACATTTTTCCTATGCAGATTACGTAATAAGTCTATACACGATTCCGATTGGTCACAATTGTTTTAATTTATATTCGTATCATTATACAAATATTTGCCAGGTATAACGAAAGAAAAAATGTACATTGTAGCCCTTTACAACAAAGAAACATTTGAGTCGTTATCTATGGAAACCCCCTATTCTTCCGTGCGGTATCAGGCCGATAAGATTAACACTATTCGCCTCCAGTACTCTTGTCAATAAGCACCATAGTGTAAGCTTTAATCCCCGGATACTGTTAAGAGCGGAAACGACCCAGTCATATTCTAGTTTCCCGTTTACCTGGTGTTTACATACAAAATACAAAATATTTTTCGAGGATAAACAATATTTCTTCACGTTTCAGTATTAGTTAACTTGATTCAAAAAAGAATCGTTCTTTTCGTTAATCTCGCTTTTTTTTATTACGATCTAATCCTTATTATGTGTGTTTTAAATTAAGATTCCATTTTTTTTGTCAGTAATGCTGATAATTTGTTACGTTATACCGGTGTATAAATTAATACAAGATTAAGTAAGGGTCGTATATCTATTGACCAATAACGGAAATATGGCCTATACAAATAAATAGCCATCACTACATTCTTAATACAGATCTAATAAAGTATCCATGCTGAGTAAACGTCTCTACAATCCCTCTTTAACATACAAAATATTATATTCAAACCATTACACAGTATAATGTTTAGCATAAAAAATCCTTCCTCGATTGAATGGGCGGCAGAGAACTTAAGAGAGCATAACCCTTGGAATTTCGAGGATGAGAACATTCAGTTTTTTTAAGTTCCTTCCATGTTTATCTAGATCGTGTGAGAAGGATTTTACATTTCATATATAGTTATATGCAAACATTTTAGTTATGATTCACAACTTTAATGTAGCTTTTATATTTTTCTGATATTATATGAAATATCTGTTAAACCTTTACCCAGTATCTACTTGGTTCTTTCGTTATGGCTACACTTTATTCAGTTGTTTGCTATGAATGTCTTGTTATATTTCAGTAAAAGTATTGAAAGGGAATTATGTTGACGATCTTCGGGTTATAGAACAAAAATCAACCTGCACACTTCTTCATCAACCTGCATCTTTGAGAACCTCGTGTTGTAAGATTGTCCGTCAACAGTTGACCTCTTTCACCGGAGTCATGATATTCAGAGGAAGGCATTGGCTACCAAATCCACTGGGACATTTAAACACAGTAAGAAGGCGATGCAGGGATGTTACTATCAAGAAGGTAAAAGTTTCCAACCGAAAAGTCAAAATGGTCGTCTCTAGTATATATCTTAGTAGTAAGCCATCCCTATTGGTCATGTTTTAAGTCAAGATCTAGGAAAGCAGCTTAAGACTATGTGGTGTCCTTGATTTCAGGCTCAGAGGTGTATATACGATTGATGTAGGTAATCATTTTTTTCTTATTTAAAGACAGCATATCGTCAATATATCGTAATCTGAAATTGCATGAATATGTTACCAGTCCTGCTATGCCCTTAAATGAATTCAATTTTTCTCTCTTTTAAATTGTGATACAGTCCAGTTATTTTATCAGAGAAATGTCTTTTAGTTGTGCCTAAACAGTTAGCGATTTCTTAAGTCAAAGAACATATTCCTGAAATTTGGAGAGTCAATATACCTATCCAATAGACCTGTCCTAAAATTCAAGATCCAAAGCTCATGTTTGGAGGTCAAGGGCATACTTTAAAGGGTCTCCTGAAAGCCCTGGGCAAAATATTTTCAACATGATATATACATATCTTATTCTTTTTCCGCGAAGATAGATTTCTATTTTATGTTTATATATATATATATCTACAGCGGTTTTTATTTTGATATTTATATAAAAATGTAACGGGTCGAAAATGATTTTCCAATCACCTTTGTGATCGAAATATTTTTATAGTCAATTTCTAAGCAAAAAATTCTACCAAAAAAATTGTTTTTGTAACATTCGTATGGAAATATAAGGATAGCTAGATCAACAAATGGAATCGTTGAATTAAAAAGTACCAGATTATCAATATAACGTTCTCGAGGTGAAGACATTTGCGTTAGTTGCTTTTTTAAAGTTTTATATTAAAATGACTGGACAACATTGTATTACCCCACAGTTTTTCTGATTTTTTATTTTTTTTATTTTTTTCTTAAGTCCATCCCCCCTGACATTTTACGTCTAGAGCATTTATTATTTTGCTAACGTTCCTGTAAGATGTAAATGTTATCAAACGTACATTGCCCTGTAACTTTTTTGTCCCCTTTTCATCAGTTCAGTGTTCAATTTCTTCAATACGTTTTAATTAATGTTTTTCTCATGCACGTTCGAGGTTTTAATATTGATCTGAATTTGATAAAAAGATTAAATAATGCTCATCAATTATTTTTTGATATTCACTTCCTTCAATATTTTAACATTCTTTTTCATTTCGTTGTCGTTCGACGTCTTATATTGCTATCAAGTTTGACGAAACGATTAAAGGATGATAATCAATTCTTTTTTGAAAGATTATTTTGTAAAACTACATTGTACTCTGTAAATACACTGAAGGAAACGTGCTAGGAACAAAAAAAGAGACAATCGCAATTGATAGCGATAAGCGTGGAAACAGTGACAACAATTAAATTTGTGATAAATGTCACATACTTTACAAAGTTAATACAGGTGTGATCAAATAATACTGTCAGAGCAAACATTGAAGCGACATCTGGAAAAATTAAAAAGAGGGATCACATCGTTTGTACACGTGAGTAAAACCGACAACCGGAACCAATGAGACACCAAAACAAAAGGACAGACATCCTGCATCACAACAGGAAACTGGAGGCGAAACTTGCACTATGTATGTCACGCGGCACGCTGTTCCTGACAAATCTTAACATTTAAAATGAAATTTCATAGCTTAAGTAAAGTGATAATGACAACGCTAGATCTCTATCATTCAGCATGAAGCCTCTCATTGGCTAAGTAGACTGGCAGGTAAAAATTAATCCAGAAAAATCTTATACTTAATTTGAATCCTGAGCACTAATTCTACTTTCACATTACAAGCAGTGGAGTTTGGCCACAGGTCACAGTTTTGTGACTTTTGACTCTAGCTTACCCAAAAAAGCATCCGGATATAAACGAAAGGTCACCAAAGCAATCTTGTTAGATTATACAGCGCATCCTTGAGATTTCAGGGGTTATGGTTAAATCGAAGATACGTGGTTAGATATATGATTGGTTTCAAGTGAAAAAAAACTGACCAATCGTTACGCTGATGCATAGCATTTGAATTTCTCACAGGAACATAATATAACCAACGATTCGCATTCAAATATTTCAAATTTATTAAATATTGAACAACTAATGGTTTATCTGATGCAACTTGAGTAATTGTTGTTTTTATTACTTGAAAATATCTGCTCGATCGCATATAAAAACTTCAAACTCAAACAGTATCAAATGAGTAAAACAATCTCCTCGGCTCCGACTCCTTGGATAAATAATGAAAAAAACTTTACGTTTGAAATATCTTACATTAAGTGATATGTATCGTCAAAATTATCCCTATGCCTCTAGCACGTGGAGATAGGTAACGTCATTGTCAGAATGAGGCTCTGTAACGTTGTGATATCACAGGAATACTGACACGGCAAGCTCTGTGACGTACCTGACAAACTGATACGTCCGACGTAAAGGTTATGTGGAATCAGTGTTACACTGTCGCGTCCGACACGGAGGGGTTCGGTATGGCACTGTTAAACTGTTGCACTCTCTTAGACCAGGACACACTGGTAATTTTTCTAGACTTTTCCATTTTCTCCGACAATGAAGGAATGGAAGCAGGATAACTTGCTGTGACGGAATTGTCATTTGCGGACGGAAATACTGAGTAATTGTTATCCGCCCTTTCGGAAACAGGATTACTTCCTGTGACAGAATCGTCATTTGTGGACGGAGATACGTGGTTATCGTAACATTCCCCCTCGGAGGACACTCCAGCCACGGTTTCCGAATCCTCACTGGTAATACGGAACGTTGATGTATGCTGTGCACTATATGCTGAGCTTTTTCTGCGTGAAAATCTGAATAATAAAAATTCCTTTTATATTAATACAACATTTCAAAATAAACAAATAAATACAAAACAACAAGGTGTTCTTATGAGCATAATAAAAAGATAGTGACCCTCATATCACAAAGAAATAAAAAAAACACTGTTTCATCAAAGCATTAAAATAAAAAAAAGTATGTTCAACATGTTGACTGCAATAAGGTTTCCATTTGTTGTAAGCACAACAAAGTGTCGGTATACTGCCATATTTCTTTCATCAAGATGTTGGTGTTATAAATGGGTATGGCAATGTATCGAAGGAGAAACAAGAATTGTCAAACTATCATCATTAGCATCTTTGTTGTATTTGAAAGCCAACATCATAGAAAACAATTATCATGACGTTATTCACTTTTCGTTATTAAACGTCTGGAAAGTCTTGGCAGAGTGGATCCATGAGCTTTTGTAAGGAGGAGAACCATATGAATTTAAAGAGTAAATTGAAACATAAAAACTCACTTTGATCAAAGCATGTGGTATTTTTCATGTTAATTTCACAGGGAAAAAGCATCATAACGTTATTTACTTTTTTATCGATTAAACATCTGTGTAGTGCTGGCAATGAAGTATAAATGCGTTAGAGAAATACGTTATATTTTGAATATAAACCTTGTTTGGTCCGGGCAAAACTGCTGGTCAAACATCTCGAAAATGTTTCTTTATAAAGGTGGGCTTGATATAGAGGGCATTAAAATAAATGTTTGGTAGGCGACATGGCAAATGAAACTTATTGCATAATAGGAAGATTAATAAAGGTTATAGTTCAAGGTTTTAATCTACAATATAAATTATTCATCTGTTTAAAGTTAAAGTTACCTCCCTTTAAAGACTATTTAAATATGACTTTAGTCCAATTTATAGTCATTAAAAGATATTTTATTTCTTAAATTGGAATTATTTTTGAAGGTAGATGCGAGTTAGAGTAACGTAGTATATGTTTTACAATAAACATTGATAAAATGTCCTTCGTTTTATTGTCACTTCTCAACCAACTTTTCCTTCATACAATTGTATGTCTCTCTCGTTAACCCTTTTATAACGCCACAACTTTACTGCTCAGACAATGGCAATATATCGAGTTCCTATTGTAAACCCTTTCTCTTCTATATGAGAAACTCGGAACATTTTTATATAAAACACTAATTAAACTTTATCATTTAAAGAATGAAGAAATACATACCTTTCTAGTGCTTGACACTTTATAATGCCGAGAACATGTAGTCTAAACTTGTCGTTGGCTGCAGTGTAGAGGAAGAAGTTCATTGCGTAGTTCGAATATTGGAAAATATAAACCACAGACCACGCGAGGTCCTTCTGGGCGTTGATGACGACGTCGTCAGTATGAGTGTATGAATCCACTATGTAGTACAAGCAGATCGGCAGAGTGGCAAAAATGAAGTAAGAACTCGTCAGAAGAACCATTTTCGTGACTTTGATGCTGTACCTCTGTCTGTTGGCGGCACTACTGCCACTACTTGATGTTCGTAAAAATTGAATTGAGCGTCGGAGGACTCGGATTATACATATGTTCATGATTATCATTAGGACTGCTGGTACGATGGAAAGAAAGGCGAGATCTATGTAAACAAAGACATATTCGTCAAAATAAAATGTTGCATTGGTTAACGATGAACAATCAAGTGAACCGTCGCGGTCTGTCAATCCATTGGTAAAAAAGAAGTGACCGTCCACGAAAACAAGAATTACAAATATTATAACTAACGCTAGTTTCTCCTTCTTCACAGTCATAATCCGTATGTAGCGGAACGGGAAATTAGTTTTTAAGAAGCGTTCAAATGTAAAACAAACTAAAATCCACGAGGAAAACTGCATAGAGATATAAAGTACGAAAAAATTGATTTTGCACCCCGCTTGAGAAATTAGTCGGAGGTCGAAGTCAAACATCTCTCTGACCCAGTATCTACTGAGTCCTACACACAAAACAGTCGTGTCCGTGAAAGCAAGAGGAACAAGAAAAAACAAGGACGGCTTCTTCCAAAAACGCATGCGTCTTAAAACGATGACACTTAATGTGTTGCCGAATATTCCAACAATGAACAATAATGGAGACAAGACTTTCCATAAATATGAGCCCACTTCATCCAGGAGTTGGTCGTTTGGTGCTGATGTTGTTGAATAATCATTGGAAACATTCCAATTGTGAAGAGTAGTTGTGGAACCGGACAAGGTAGTATTCAGGAAGCGTTCACTGTGTGGATTGCTGCCAAGAGATGTTGATGCTGTGGACAGATCGTCAGGGGGTTCAAACGTTGTCCAGTTACTCATTGTCCTCTTTGTTTGGTCATGTACTCGCCTGTAATTATAGTCAAATATTTGTAACAATGGTTTCTTCAACATACAGAATTTTGTGTGTGTTCAATTTTAGGTTTTCTGTTTACGCTAAGAATATACCATGCACACGATGAATCTAAATGCATGTTATTCCTCCATTGAAAAACATATAATAATTTATTAAATATGTATATCATACAACGTTATCACGTAACAATTTTCATATCAAACCCCGAGACCTAAAGGTTGATGCTAAATATGATATGAAAATTGATATATGATAACCTTTTTATCGCATGAAATGATGAAATGGACTCAGTTCAGGATGTTCAACAATGATACAGATGATGACGTCCGTTGGCTGATACAGATTAATCATTCTGTTCTAAGTAGTTTGGGTGTGGTCATCTCAAAGAAATAACATATTCAGAAAGAGACACACCATACGCAAACCTAATTAGCACATGCATTATAAATCATTTATGGCAAAAAAAAAAGAATATTTCACACCTTGTAATATACAGCCGACGAATTTAACTATACGTGCATTTAATACCGTATTAATCTTAATAAAGTACTGCGAATCATTTCTTTTCGAGAGTTAAATTTTCGCGCTGATTCTCGAGAAGATCAATTCAAATATTCAGCAAGTGTGGATTTTATAGATAATAAATACTTAGATAGCATATAATTAGCATAGTCCAGTGTAACAAGAGGCCCAAAGGACCTGTATCGTTCAACTGAAATTAATCTCAGAAGTAATCGAAAATACATGCCTAAAATACCTACAAGGACATATCGCGAAAGAAAGTAAAAGCGAAAGTAAAATGATAGACAATTTTTGTATTCAAATATTACATTATAAAACAAGACGGTTAATGCATGGACATGGATTATATGTTAACCTTTGATATTTGTTTCAGACTTACCTAAATGAACCAGGATATTCACCAACGGGGGTTTAACAAGGATATGCAATACGCCGTAAACTGTCAGTTAACCGTTATAAACTACCAAAAAATGTCTTTCTGTGATCAATAGTGGCACCCTAGCTATTGATTGTTTTGTGAAAACGGTAAAGTGCTATTAAGCATCTTGAAAGCTCTTGATTTAGTGACGAATGTGTACCAAATGAGTGTTATTTTCTCCCCCTGACGCTTTACCGACAATCGTATCCTAGCAGGCAGTGCAAATAAAACAAAATACATTTAAAAACGTTTAGCTCTCGAGATGTCATTCAGCTGGTAAGAAATAAAGTAAAAAAGAATAATCCTCTAATTTTTTTCTATTCGTGTAGCATGCTGGTGGTATGACGCGGTTTACGTTGTAATAATCATAAAATCAAAACAATACGTTATTGCTATGTAACAGTCCTTTTGTGAAATATTTTGAAAATGTACCTCGAGGATCGCGGATTTTCTATGACACTAATATACACATGTATGTCTTTGCTGGCAATTGTAAGAATTCCAGTAGTATAAGAGAAGAATAGTCATATCAATGGTTCTATGGAATATTGCCGAACAGAGGCAGTCACTGATTTGAGCTGATACGACATATTTGAATATTAAATAATAATTAAAAGACCATAGAGTGACCTGTAGCGTTAACACGATAAAACACAATCTTAATTTAACATATAAAATATAACATACAACAACAAGGATGAACGAGACACCATAACATCAAAACAGCTAAACAGGGCAATATTAGAAACTCAAGCAGGTGGTACAAACGGCTCAAGATTTCCTTCAATAGCTGTGGAAAACATAGTTATGTTCCCGTTGGCTGTAAAATCCAGAAAAGCTTGCTAGTCATTGACGATATGGGACTATATATAAAAAATGTACCACATTATAAATGCATAAAGGAAACATCGAACTCAGCGACAACAAACACTTAATTAATGGTGGACCCTTTTACATGGTAGTTACTATGACGACCGTTAAATACTTCCTAGTCTTAATGTTGTCGATTATTTAACATTCCACCTTGTTAAATAATAAAAATTGAATAATTTCATATCAATTAAATAGATATAAGATTAATACATTCTATGTGGTTAAATGGACATGAAAAGTTATATTAACATCGACTTCGTGTCGGTCATTATATCATTTTCAGGTTCATACAACCACATATTCACCTAAAATAAAGTCCATAATTAAAATCTACTTGCTAATGTAACATATATAACTATATCTATATTCATTTGTACAGTTTCTATGAGCAATAGCGACACATAGTTCAATATCGGGACTTAATTCGAAGAAACGATTGATTATTTGATGTCCATTACATGCAAAAACGTTATAGGGACAGTGTGGACAATTTAATTTGTCAAATTTTCGAGGGAATCTTTCCTTTTCTCAAAGACAAACATTAAAAAAGTGATTTTGATAATTTAAACGTATCTATGGTTTAAGTTCTAGCTGCGTTGTACATGTAGCTATATCTTACACGTGTTTTACAGTACATATGTTAATCATATCTGCTACTTATTTAAATGATATAAATATGTAAATAGGTAGTAAATCCACTAATGACTTTATAGAAATATATAAAGAAATATAGATAAACATATAGACGTTGGGAATACTGACTCTCTGATATCATATAAATATATGGTATAAAGTCTATTACAAATAACTGTTAGTATATCCTATTTATCACATAATATGACCTATCAGCCCTTTGGTTGGTTGTAAGTTTCAATTGTTTCAATTTCGATGTCACGCCTAGGACAAGTACATGACGTCACATATGGTTGCCTTTTACATTGCATGGTTACATGAAAGTTGTCGTTTTACACGAATAAATGCCACAAATCTTGATTATGTGATAAAAATGATCTTACACTCGTTTTCATTTAATATAAAAAATGAGCCAGAGGCTCGCTAAATTGAAAAATATTCTTAGACTCGTTTCATAAATCTCATATGAAATGGAAACTCATATAAGATCCTTTATCTATAGCTATGCTAACTGATTAGGTTATGTATGTTTACACTTATTACTTACGTAATATTTGACAGCTGTTTTAGATATATTATTAACGTTAAGAAATATGATTTTCAGTTTCTTTCAAAATGGTTTATGTTGTCAAGAAACAATTATAATTATATCAAGCTATTGTTATTCTACAACTTTCGCATACAATAATCATTAACACATAAACATAAATACATCATAACTAACAATACGTCAATGCAAATTCCGGTTTAGATATATTATAGTCACAGAAGTTATAGAAAAGTACAATACTTACGCTAATTATTACATGCAGCAGGTAAATGTGTATCACAAAGTGCCCCAGGTACACATACTACATAAACCAGGTACTGATACGCTTTGCTATCAGTGTGGCGTCACACACTAACACTAACATGTATTTGTACATTTGACAGACATCATTGTTGAGTCACTAGCTATGCAAGTATTCGTAATCCGTGTTAATTCAAACAGCTCTGAGAAACTTTTAACAGCTGTAGTAGTCGAATACTCGGAAAGTTGTACATATCAGACCGTCAGATGTACCTGGAAGTATGAACCAATGACGTTAAATGTACTATACATACAAACCATAAATAGTATAAAAAATAAAGCTCTACGACTATGGATGGCTGTCGAGGCCACACGTGATTTCGCATTTTTATCAAACACGACAGGCTTGATTAAATTTCATCGGGTCAAAATTGGGGTCTTGGTATTAAATTTTCCATTATTTGTTTATTGTTAAGATCATTTCATTGATTTAATCGATGTTTTTACTTCTTGTTCAACTATTTTGTTAATCACCGAGAACTTACACATCGACAGCAAACACACAGTGAATAAGAACAACCATGCAGTTTCAACGAAGATAATTGCTGATGAATTTTCGCGAAAACTGTTAACAGGAATAAATCTCGCCGGTTAAATATTCACCACTTATTAGTGATGCATGCTCTTTTCGATCTTTGTATAATACGCCGTGTACATGTACTTATATGAGCTGTGCTGTTAATTTAACCCTACACAGTAAAGAAAGAAGAAACGGTGTTTAATAAATATTCGCCGTCCTTAAAGTAAAACTGAAGCAAACATTTCCTGGTATACCGTAGTTATGTGATGGTTGTACTCCAAAATCCTAGTAACGACAAACATGAATGGTGTTTTAGTATGTTTCAATACATTTTTGCGAGACATTTGGATTCCAATCAACTGTCTTAATGAGTGAACAGACGTCATAAACTTGATGACGTCACAAAACCGTATGCCAAATTCATTTGCGTTCACTGGACAATATGTAACAGGTGTGATTAAAATGTAAATAATAAATACTGTATATGCATTTTTGGTGTGATATAAGGATTAATATCAGTGAAGTATCAGTATGACATAAGGATTTATATTACTTAAAGATCAATATGACATTAGGATTAATATCAATGTAGGATAAGTATGACAAATGGATTAATAACACTGTAGGATCAGTATGACATTATGATTAATATCACTGTAGGATCAGTATGACATAAGGATTTATATTACTTAAAGATCAGTATGACATTAGGATTAATATCAATGTAAGATAAGCATGACAAATGGATTAATAACACTGTAGGATCAGTATGACATTAGGATTAATATCAATGTAGGATCAGTATGACATAAGGATTAATATCACTGTAGGATAAGTATGACATTATGATTAATATCACTGTAGGATCAGTATGACATAAGGATTTATATTACTTAAAGATCAGTATGACATTAAGATTAATATCAATGTAAGATAAGTATGACAAATGGGTTAATAACACTGTAGGATCAGTATGACATTAGGATTAATATCAATGTAGGATCAGTATGACATAAGGATTAATATTACTTAAAGATAAGTATGACATAAGGATTAATATCACTGTAGGATCAGTATGACATTAGGATTAATATCAATGTAGGATCAGTATGACAAATGGATTAATAACACTGTAGGATCAGTATGACATTAGGATTAATATCACTGTAGGATCAGTGTGACAAATGGATTAATATCAATGTAGGATCAGTATGACATAAGGATTAATATTACTTAAAGATAAGTATGACATAAGGATTAATATCACTGTAGGATAAGTATGACTTACGGATTAATATCAGTGCAGGATCAGTATGACAAATGGATTAATAACACTGTAGGATCAGTATGACATTAGGATTAATATCACTGTAGGATCAGTATGACATAAGGATTAATATCACTGTAGGATAAGTATGACTTACGGATTAATATCAGTGCAGGATCAGTATGACAAATGGATTAATAACACTGTAGGATCAGTATGACATTAGGATTAATATCACTGTAGGATCAGTATGACATAAGGATTAATATCACTGTAGGATAAGTATGACTTACGGATTAATATCAGTGCAGGATCAGTATGACAAATGGATTAATAACACTGTAGGATCAGTATGACATTAGGATTAATATCACTGTAGGATCAGTATGACATAAGGATTAATATCACTGTAGGATAAGTATGACTTACGGATTAATATCAGTGCAGGATCAGTATGACAAATGGATTAATAACACTGTAGGATCAGTATGACATTAGGATTAATATCACTGTAGGATCAGTATGACATAAGGATTAATATCACTGTAGGATAAGTATGACTTACGGATTAATATCAGTGCAGGATCAGTATGACAAATGGATTAATAACACTGTAGGATCAGTATGACATTAGGATTAATATCACAGTAGTACCAGTATGACATAAGGATTAATATCAGTGTAGTATTAGTATGACATTAGGATTAATATCAATGTAGGATAAGTATGACTTACGGATTAATATCAGTGCAGGATCAGTATGAAATTAGGATTAATATCACTGTAGGATCAGTATGACATAATGATTTATATCACTGTAGGATCAGTATGACATTAGGATTAATATCACTGTAGAATCAGTATGACATTAGGATTAATATCAATGTAGGATCAGTATGACAAATGGATTAATAACACTGTAGGATCAGTATGACATTAGGATTAATATCAGTGCAGGATCAGTATGAAATTAGGATTAATATCACTGTAGGATCAGTATGACATAAGGATTCATATCACTGTAGAATCAGTATGACATTAGATTAGGATTAATATCAGTGCAGGATCAGTATGAGGATTAATATCACTGTAGGATCAGTATGACATTAGGATTAATATCAATGTAGGATAAGTATGACTTACGGATTAATATCACTGTAGGATAAGTATGACGTAAGGATTAATATCAGTATAGTATTAGTATGACATTAGTATTAATATCAATGTAGGATAAGTATGACTTACGGATTAATATCAGTGCAGGATCAGTATGATCAGTATGACATAAGGATTTATATCAGTGTAGTATCAGTATGACATACGGATTAATATCAGTGTAGGAACAGCATGACATTAGGATTAATATCACTGTAGGATAAGTATTACGTAAGGATTAATATCAGTATAGTATTAGCATGACATTAGTATTAATATCAATGTAGGGTAAGTATGACTTACGGATTTATATCACTGTAGGATAAGTATTACGTAAGGATTAATATCAGTATAGTATTAGTATGATATTAGTATTAATATCAATGTAGGGTAAGTATGACTTACGGATTGATATCAGTGCAGGATCAGTATGACAAATGGCTTAATAACACTGTAGGATCAGTATGACACAAGGATTAATATCACTGTAGAATCAGTATGACATTAGAATTAATATCAGTGTAGCATTAGTATGACATTAGAATTAATATCACTGTAGGATAAGTCTGACAAATGGATTAATATCACTGTGGGTAAGTATGACGTAAGGATTGATATCAGTATAGTATTAGTATGATATTAGTATTAATATCAATGTAGGATAAGTATGACTTACGTATTAATATCAGTGCAGGATCAGTACGACATAAGGATTAATATCAGTTTAGTATTAGTATGACATTAGTATTAACATCAATGTAGGATAAGTATGACTTACGTATTAATATCAGTGCAGGATCAATATGACATTAGGATTAATACCACTGCAGGATCAGTATGACCTTAGGATTAATATCAGTGTAGCATTAGGATGACATTAGGATTAATATCGCTGTAGGATCAGTATGACATAAGGTTTAATATCACTGTAGGATAAGAATGCCGTAAGGATTAATATCAGTATAGTATTAGCATGACATTAGTATTAATATCATACTAATACTATACTGATATCAATCCTTACGTCATACTTATCCTACTCCTAATGTCATACTGATCCTTCTCGGATATTAATCCTTATGTCATACTTATCTTTAAGTAATATTAATCCTTATGTCATACTTATCTTTAAGTAATATTAATCCTTATGTCATACTGTAGGATCAGTATGACAAATGCATTAATATCACTGTAGGATAAGAATGCCGTAAGGATTAATATCAGTATAGTATTAGCATGACATTAGTATTAATATCAATGTAGGGTAAGTATGACTTACGGATTGATATCAGTGCAGGATCAGTATGACAAATGCATTAATATCACTGTAGGATCAGAATGACAAATGGATTAATATCACTGTGGGTAAGTATGACGTAAGGATTGATATCAGTATAGTATTAGTATGATATTAGTATTAATATCAATGTAGGGTAAGTATGACTTACGGATTGATATCAGTGCAGGATCAGTATGAAATTGGGATTAATATCACTGTAGGCTCAGTATGACATAATGATTTATATCACTGTAGGATAAGTATGACTTACGTATTAATATCAGTGCAGGATCGGTATGAAATTAGGATTTATATCAGTGTAGTATTAGTATGACACTAGGATTAATATCAAAAATTAGGATTAATATCACTGTAGGATAAGAATGCCGTAAGGATTAATATCAGTATAGTATTAGCATGACATTAGTATTAATATCAATGTAGGGTAAGTATGACTTACGGATTGATATCAGTGCAGGATCAGTACGACATAAGGATTAATATCAGTTTAGTATTAGTATGACATTAGTATTAACATCAATGTAGGATAAGTATGACTTACGGATTGATATCAGTGCAGGATCAGTATGACTTACGGATTAATATCAGTGCAGGATCGGTATGAAATTAGGATTTATATCAGTGTAGTATCAGTAAGACATTAGGATTAATATCACAGTAGTATCAGTATGACATAAAGATTAATATCAGTGTAGGAACAGCATGACATTAGGATTAATATCAGTGCAGGATCAGTATGAAATTAGGATTTATATCAGTGTAGTATTAGTATGTCATTAGGATTAATATCACTGCAGGATAAGTATGACATTAGGATTAATACCACTGCAGGATCAGTATGACCTTAGGATTAATATCAGTGTAGCATTAGTATGTCATTAGGATTAATATCACTGCAGGATCAGTATGACCTTAGGATTAATATCACTGCAGGATCAGTATGACCTTAGGATTAATATCACTGCAGGATCAGTATGACCTTAGGATTAATATCACTGCAGGATAAGTATGACATTAGGATTAATAACACTGTAGGATCAGT